GCTATGTCATTATCGGCCTCCTGCAGGCCTCATTCGGTCCATTCAGCAGCGCTTTGCGGAATTCCGCTGTTAGAATTGCATTTCATCAGTCTTCAGTCACTCTCTAGTTTGTACGCATTTATATTTAAGCCTTAACAGGACAGCTGTAGGCATAGCTGTGGGTATTTAAGCTTCACAAAACTAACCTACTTACCTTCACTACCTTTAAGCCCTACTAAAATCTCTGCAACAAAAAGAATGCATAATTTTTTAAACAATAAACTGAAGAGGCCATAAAACCAGGTATACTCCAGTTTTGAAAGTCCTTTTATCTCCCAATATTTAGCTTTCTAATTCAAGTGCTTAAAAATATATAAACATCTATTTCTTAAGCCAGGTAAGGTAAAGAGACAATGTGACTAGTCCTGAGGGAAGATTAAACACAACATATTTCTTCCAGCATCCAAAAAGAAAGCACAGAAACAACACGCTAGAAGAAGGCAGGGTGAGACCTAAGACATGTAAAGCCCAAGATTACATGGAGATCCACATACACAGAAGTCACTAGATGATCACCCCTCTCTGATCACAAGCTTTCTTGATTCAGTCACCATGCCACCATCACTCTTACATTATGAAAACTCTGAGACACTCCTGTACAGAAAAGCATACCTATTCCATCAAATTTAGCTTCCAAAACACCCCCATCGCTGTGCCTCTCCAGTCTAAATGTACTATGCTTTGCTACTTGGAAAGTCACATACACAGCATTCAAAACAGGCTGAATTTGAAAAGCTGAGATGAAACAACTACCTCTATTATCTGAAGGATCAATGCTTACCAGTTGCCTCAAATACTAAAGCTGACCATCGTCAGTTGGCATTTGCTCTAGATGTGTTCCATCTTCAAAACAAAAATCCTCTTTTTATTTAAAATTAATCCATAATAACCAAGTGTGGATAATATTCCTATCTCCAGCAAGTCACTTTGTCAAATGTGAGAAGACTCATGTAACCCTAAAAAATTACTACAAATAAAAGATATACCTAACGGTAAACAATTCTTTTCTGTGTTTGCTTGTGTTTCAAATAAGT